GGGCCGGGCTTGGAGCAGCGCCACGTCCCCGAGCCCGTGCCGGAGGAGTGGAGCGCCCGGAGAGCGACAGAGCGAGCTGGCCCTGCTCCCTGGGAGACTCGTCGTGGTGCTTGCTAAGGGTTTGCCTACCTTTTCAGTAATTAAAAGTTTGTAACTAATTACCAGCTGCCCTGCGCATACCTCACAGTCATGCTTTCCCCTGGTGCTGGGAGTCTTCTCTTGCAGCAGGGAAGGAAGCCAAATCCGGTTGAATATGCTTGTGCTGTGCGTGATACGGGTGCTGAGGCTGCATGGATTTCTTTCTTACGCTTCCTGGAAAGCTGTGTTACTGTGTGCGGTCCTTTCGTTATTGTGCCCTGTGAGTAACCGCGTGAAGAACGTGCTTGGAGAGAAATGCTGCAGAGCGGGGCTGGGCTCCTGTCGGTATGCAGCGATTTTAGTCTCAGGCTTTCTCCTACTTGCTGCGTTCCTGATTAGAGAGTAAAGAGGAAGACGTTCAGATGAGTTCTCACGTATTTAAACCTGAACACAGGAGCGTACACCTTCCTCATTGCCTTAGCTTTGCTCTCTGTGTCCCACCCACATCCCTTCAGCTGCAAGGAAATCGAAGCGCACGTGCAGCACGACTTTTCTGGGTCGGACAAAGTGCTTCGGCCGCACTCAGTGGGATAAGAGACTTTCAAGCTAGCGTGGATTTTAGCTTCAGCCACATACGGATCTGAACGCCATCTCCGGGCTAGAAGCGAGCGCTGGGGCAGAGCCAGGACTCGGGAGTCCCCGTCCCCCCTTACCCCCATCTCCTGCACCCAGCGACCTTCCCTGCTGCGCACACCCTGCTGTCCCGGTGACTCCTCTCGCTGGTGTAGGCTACAGGTCTGCTGGGTTTTCCCAGTATAAAACTTTGGTATTGAGGAGTTGGCATATCCGCTGCCTGCTTGCAGTTTAAAAAGCAGCGAGGGGGACAGAACTGCCCCCTTTGCCTGAAAACTGGCCGTTTCGAGAGGCTTTCAGCTGCGCTGAAGCCAGCTGGGCCAGGTGGCAAGGCATAAGCCTTGTTGAGAGGAGCTGTCTCCATTTACACATCTGGAAGGATTGTGCCCTGCTAATACGCATCGTTTGGCCATTTTAAGAATGCTTCCTTTTTTTGTTACTATCAGGACAAAGGTACCCTTCTTTTTTTTCATTTCACTTTTCCGTAAGAAGGCAGGAGCTACCCTAGTCGTTGTGTTGGCTTAGGCTGAATTAAAGGTCTGGCTGGCCCGGCTTTGAGGTTATTCCTGGCTAACTTTTGAGATAAAAGACCAGCAGAACCATTGAAACGCATGAGGTCAGGTCCTGATTGCAGTTGTCCTGGAGAACTTGAGAGAGAAATAAAGAGCACATACTCAGAACGTCATGAGTCTGATCCTCTGCCGCTCTGCTAAGTGTAAGGTTTGCTTTTAAATTCAGTGCTTGCCAGCAGTGAGTGAAAAAGAGCGTCCGTGCAGGCTCTGTATAGCTGGTATTTTCAGAAGTGTGTATGTGATTTAGATTCCCAGTGGCAAAACTTAACTTTAGAAAATGGACAGGCTATACGTGGCTTTGCAGATTTCACTGATTTTGTCTCTTTTATGCTTATAGTAAGTGCTGACCTGGGCTGGGGGACAGGTTCTCTGTCTTGTTACTATTCAGTGCTACACTACTGGCTTAAAATCTCATAAAACAGTACCTTTTGTGATGATCAGCTATTGTTTTTCTGCTGCACTGCTCAATAATTGATCCCCGTCAGATCTATGTGGTTTGTATTTCCCGTTAATAGTACTGGGTAGCGTTTGGCATTTTTATGTACTGTGCTGACTGATGCAGCATCTCTTCCCTTCCCTGCCAATGAACGTATTGGATTTCCAACGCTGAGTGGGCATTAGTAGAAGAGGAGAACGTATGCTGTTCCTTCGCGTTTGACTTGAGGATTTCCCCTGTGATGCAGGGTGTTGTCGGCGCTTAGCCATCTCTTCTAGGTCAGGAGCTCTTGGTGTGGTGTGTGTTGCTCAGAAGCTAATTAGTACTTGTGTTTTTTCTTCTGACCGTGTAAAAGTTCCCTCTCTCTCCATGATTTATGTGCTGGTTATGGAAATGCGCCGTGATTTTGCATAGAGCTACTTGGGCTTGTGTGCCTGAAGCTTGTCTTTTCCCCAGCTACTCTCAGTTGGTTTAGTAAAAGATACTATCTCTTCCTATGCACCTTGTCTTTGAAATACTTCAATTTGCCTGTGGTTTTATCTTCCTGCATAAGAGCAGAGTTTTCTGCAGAAGGTTTCTGTCTTTGTGCAAGGATGTGGGGTTTTTCCACCTTTCTCAAGCCGTGGGCCAGCACTCTGTTGCTGTGCAGGAGCGCTGCTGTCTGTGTAGATGCTTCCTTTCCTTAGGGATGCTTGGGAATAGGTATATGTCGTAAAAACTCCATCCCCCGCATCCCTCCCATCACCCACAGTGGCTAACTGACCGCGGTCTCGTGTCCTCTCACCTGGCGATCGGGGGAAACTGCACCCATTTCCCTCCCTTTGCGCCTTCCCACCAGTCTGGGATAAGCCCTGATCCCCTTCAAATACTTCGTAAGGCAGGTGAAGTGAGGCTGATGTTGGGAACGGAGCGCTGACTCTTCTCACCCTAAACTGATGTCAAAGGGCAACAGGGAGCTCCCTTGGACTGAAACAGAAGAGAGGAGTGAACAGAGAGTCCAGGTCTATGTTGCTGCACCTCCAACAAATACCTCTCTGGGACCTCGGACGATCTGCGTCACGGTCCACGAGCGCTCTGCATCCATGAGTCGTTTGTTGGTGCCCTTACAGAGGTTCTTTCTTGCCAGCGTTTGCGCACACGTACCGTCAGTGTCCCACGTTTAGCTTAGGAAGTCAGCAGGGTGGAAGCCTGTGCTGGGAAGAGTCTGGCTTCCACGTTACAGATATGAGTCATAGTCATAGTTCAGTGCTCCTGGTTCTTAATTTTTTTAGTTTTGTTGGGGAGGTTAGAGCAAACGAGGAAGAATGCAGGAAGATGACTTCATTTTCTGTCTTTAGAGTGGCAGAAGTCCTTTTTTTCAGAGAGAAAGCCTTATGGCTTTTCCTGAGGAGTTCTAGGCTTTAAACTTACCCCTGGAGTTGAAGGGACTCACAGCTGATGTGGCTAAGCATTTCAGTGTTGGAGGCTCATCAGTTTTCCTTCAGAAGGCAGAAAGCAGCTGGCCAAAGTAACCCTTTAGGTTTTCGTAGCCAGCTCTTGTCCTTGCCCTTTCTGCCTGAATTTGAAAGGCGTAGCTATATCTGAACACATTTTACACCGACATAACTGGTAAGAAAAGAAAACCAGCTATGGACATGGGAGTGACCAGGTTAATGTAGATTATATTTGTCCTTGTTCTCCTTCTATTTCTTTTTCTTCCTTCTGTCTTTAGACTTTAAAGAGAAAGGAAAAAGAGTATGAACATGAGATGGAGCGGCTGGCAAGAGAGAAGATTGCTACCCAGCAGCGACTGGCAGAATTGAAGAACGAGTTGAGCCAGTGGATGGACATCTTGGAGATTGACAGAATTATTCGACAGACAGTTCAGCCAGAGGATGACCAGGCATCTACCTCGACAGCATCAGGTATCCGTAATTACTCTCTTCTTCTAATCATCACTGTATGTCACTGACACGGTTATATAGTGGTGGTGGGGATCTTCATTTAGCACCATCAAGCTTTCTTTGCATTCAGAATAAAGTGAAAGGTTTTGTAATCACGTTGGCCTGATAGTACACTGCCGCTTGTGTAAAGTGAACTGAAAATCGTGCATCAACATTAGGTAGATACAAAGTGCAGCTTTGCACATTCAATCTGCTGATACCTCACGTGTTGCTCCCTGCTTTCAAAACTTAGTTTTCCTCTTGCACAGCTATGCATCCCAGCTCGTTAGAACTGGTGTGTGAGCATCCTGAGGTATTTGTGCATGGATGTGGGAGGGTAGTCAGCCACGTAGAGAAGAAGGAATTGGTACAGGAAGGATCACCAGAGCATTTGAACAACTTAATGAGCCTTCACGTTGTGTGAAAAGGATTCGCAGTGAAGAGGAAATGATACTAACGAGTATCTGGCATGCTGTTCCCAGTAAGAAGGTTTTGTCAGATAGGAGAGTGCATGCTTTTCTCCATACCGGTGATCTGCAGCAGGAAGAATAGGCAGTCCGCGGATGTACAGTGCTTTGCTATCCAGAGATGGGGAGGCTGTAGCAGTCCGTAACCATTTGCAGCAGTTCCGTCAAATCGCGACAGCATTTGCTCTTGGCACTCCAGGCAGACGATACAGCGGGTTCCAGGAAGGGAAAACTTGAGCTTTCTGTTTCATTCAGGCTTGTAATGGGGCTCATCACCTTTGAACGTACTCGCGGACTCCAAGTGTAGGCTCGTGGAAGTTGAGAGTAGGAGTGCTTTGTCCATAGGCGTGTCAGCGTTCACCTCTCCAGCTGGCCTCTGCTGAAAATGATCGCTTCAAGCTACTACTAACCACAGAGCTTGCAAGAGGGAAGTGTCTTCCCTGCTTTTCCTGTTGCTTCTGTATCTGCTGAGATTTGTAATCTCTACTGCATGGCTGGCTTTAGAACAGGCAGCGCAAGGTGCCCTGCTCGTCTTGCTGATCTCCGCAGGGTCAGCATGTTCCTGCATTGCTTCATTAGTTCGTGGACTGGACGAGAGTCCATTTTCCAGAACCAGACGAGGAACTTGCTGCCATGTTTCTCCACGGCCGTTTCCTGCCTGCTCTGGGAGCAGAAGGGGTGGTGCCGATCGGTGGAACAACTGGACAGGAAAGGAAACCCTGTTCTTCTTCCCAGAAGGAGCCCTCCTCAGCCCGGACGGAGTTCAGCCCAGGTGCTCTCCGTCTGCCTCTGCTCACGTTGCTTCCCTCGCCTGCCAAGCGAGATCTGTTGGCCTGCGTGAGCACCCCTCTCTAGCTGGGGCTTCGGGCTAGTCACGCCTGCCTGGCTCGGGTCCTCGGCCCACAGGCAGGGAGGAGAGGGGTGTGCCGCCCCACGGGGGCTCGGTGCAGCCTGCCGCGCCGCGCCACGCTGCCTGCCCATAGTGCAGTGACTCCTCCCGCCGTCGTCTCTTCCGCCTGTGCTGCCTTTTAGGGAGGCTGGTTAGTCCAGTTCATGCTCTGCTTTCTTTTTTATGGGAGTTTCTTCCTTTCGTTTTTTCCAGAGGGTGAAGACAACATGGATGAAGACATGGAAGATGACAGGCCAGTGAACTCATTACCAAAACTAACCCAGCGCCAGCACCCAGAGCTCCTGAAAGCCGTCCCTTCAAACGCTGCTTCCCACCACCCGGCAGTTCTGCCTCAGCACCTGTCCATCCAGCAGAAACAAACCCCAGCCCACGCACAGCCTCCCATCCAGACGCAAGCACTGGTCCAGCCGCAGGCGATCGTCCCTGCACAGACTCACATCGTGGCGGCTTCGACCGTGCAATCGACTGTTATCGCCCACACCGCCACTACCCACGCTTCGGTCATTCAGACTGTCAACCACGTGATTCAGGGTCCACAGACCAAGCACATTGCTCACATTGCACCTTCCACGTCCAGCCCTGTGCAACTTACCACTGCTGCTCAGCCTATCGGCCACATCACTGTGCACCCCGGCCCGTCCTAGCGCCCACACCCCTGTGCACCCAGCCACCATCAACCACATGGCCCACCTGGGCCAGCAGCTGCCCATCTACCCTCAGCCCGTGGCCGTCAGCCAGCCCGTGGTGAGCCACATTGCTCACACGATCTCGCACCAGCAAGTGAATGGAACCACAAACCTTGGCCAGCAAGCGGTGATGGCCAAGCCTGCTGTAGGAACCCAAGTTGTCCATCACCCGCAGTTAGTTGGGCAAACGGTCCTAAATCCGGTGACTATGGTAACCATGCCATCATTCCCAGTGAGCACACTGAAGCTGGCCTAGAGGGGATCGTCCGACGGCGAGGTCTTTGTTGGGAACCTTTCCTAAACTCCATACATTCCAACCACGTCTGACTTCGCGGGAGGGAAGTGCAGAAAACGCCGCGTGGCAGGACGCCGGGCTGGGCTGTCCTCAGCCGCCCAGTACCCACCCTGCCGCTGGCAGCGAGAGACGGGGCCTCTCTGCACTTGAATTTTGCTAATCTGAGAAAACTTCAAAGACAGTTGTTCATGGTGATTTTTTTTTTCCTTTTATGTGTAATCAGTGAAATATGGATATGATGTTCTTAAGACTTTAATTTTCCCCTTTTATGTGTTGCTTCTTTGTAGAATAAAAATTGCTGATCTCTTTATTGAGATGTTGCGTAGAATGGGAAAAAAAAAATCATAGAAGTCTATATTTATATATATGTGTGTATGTGTGTGTATATATATGTATATACATATATATATAAATATAACATTTGAAGAAGGCCTTTTGTAAGGTTGATTATTTTGCAGGATTATTAGACAAAATTCATTTTTGGAGGAAGAAGACAGAGTGTCCTCTCTAATAAGATAGATGGTTTGGTGGACCAGGGTACATATACAGTGACAAAAAAGAAAAAAAGTTAAACCATGTTAAAGGTATTTCCCGTCGATATATTACATTTCAGAAAACCATCTAAAATCACTGTGACTTGTTATGGCATTTTAAGGAAATTCTCTGTCCTGTCTAATAAAAGGAAAAAGAATATACAACTGGACTTCATTTGTTGCAGTTTTATAAATGACTTGATTTTTATAGCTATGTCAAAACAATAATGTTTTTTATTATTTTCATGGTTGACAATGTTTTGTTTGGATGGTTTTTCGGGGGTTTTGGTTTTTGTTTTGGCTTGGTTTTGCTGATGCAATAACTGATTTTGCAGATCTCTGTGCATGGCACTCCCCCTTTCAGGATTCCTCCTGCCAGTCCCAAGCCCCCGGGTTTCTTGGGTTTGTTTTTGTTTTGCAGAGGCAGATATTTTGTGCTGGCAACTTGCAATATGCTTATCTGGCCTGGTAGAGCGGCACCTGGGAGAAGACGACCAACAGAAATTAAGTAGATTTGCTGCATGGGTTACTTTTCTTTGTTGCTTTGTTCCTGAACTGACCACGTTTTAGTGTGGGAGCCAGTGGATTAGAAAAGGGATAGATGTGCATGTGGTATCTTCCAAAGTGCAAGCTGTTTTGACATCTTCTTTTTTTCTTTAGGGGGGGGAAAAAAAAATCTAGTCTTGTATGGGCTAACAGTATATTCCAGGAGATCAGCATGTATAACTTGTGTCTTACAGAGTACAGTGAGATGTGCACCAAAGAACAGCCCCTCATCCTGAGCGACCCTCTTGCTCATCCGTGCCGCTGGTTAGGTCAGCTCTCACTGAAGTCGGTGCCGAACGCCCAGGGAGGCGCGAGAGGAGGGATGCTGCTTGGCTCTGCGGGGACTTGCCCGCCTGCCTGGGAGGTTGCTTAGGACATGTTTCATTGCTGACTGAATGTTCTGGTCCTCACACCGTTTTGTGTGTAGTACTGCTATTAATGATCTCTTCTCCGTCTTCCTCTCTTTTTAAAAACAAATATTCCACAGTCCTTAACGCA